CACAGAGATCCATGTGTATGTGTTTATAGCAGCACAGCTCAGGACAGCAGAACCTAGGAAGCAGCCTATGTGTTCATCAGCAGACGAGTGGAATAATAAACAAAATGGATCACTCCTCTCTGCCTGAAAGAAGGATGAACTTGAGTCATTTCTAGGGAAACAGATGCACCTTGAGGCCAAAATGTTGCATGAAATAAGTCAGACACGCAAACTAAAAAATCCTATCCTGTCTCCTGTATGAGAAACCCAAAATATAAATAAGTCAAAGGGCAAACTAAAAGATATGCACCAGGAAGTGGGAGAGAGATCTTTGGGAAATGGGAAGGGGACTAAGAGACAGAAGGTGGGAGGGAAGGGACATAAAAATAAATGAGATGTGTTATGTATATGTACAAGCTTCCCACCATGAATGTATTCATGATGCACTGAAAAACATGTACTAACAAAATAATGATGATAATAAAATAACGATAAAATAATAATAATAAAACAACACTGCGTCAACTGGGCCATAGGATTTGTCCAGGCAGCCATTCCCAGCGGCAAAGGCTAGCAATGCTCTCGCTCTGCATGAAGGTCACCGCCAACCAGATAAATATATTCATGAGCCGCCAACTAAATTTGTAACCACGGCAACTTCCCCTGTGTCAGATCCCAAGCTTCCCACACTACTCTCCTGTGCCATGGGCACAGGGAGAGGTTGAGGGCGCGGGAGGTGGGGAGACAGAGCATGGTCAGACCCACTGCTGGTAAAGCGTATTAAAGCCACAGAACTTTTCCAACACCCATGACCATGTTGGCGTGTTCCCTGGCCCCTCCCAGGTTCTGTGAAGGGCCCTTCATGCCAATAGCTCCAAAGCTTAGGAGTTGTCAGCTTCAGGTAGTCAGCCTCTATCTCGTTCCCCTCAAGTGAAAACACATTTTAATTGAATTAATTAGTTTTCATGACTAGGGATTGAATCCAGGGCCTTTGCACTGAGCTACATCTCCAGCCCTTTTTAAATATTTTAATTTGAGACAGGTCCTCACTAAGTTGTTATGTTGCCCAGTCTAGACTCAGACATGTGATCCTCCTGCCTCAGCCTCCCAGAGTGCTGGGAGTACAGTCACGGGCCACTATGCCCAGTTAGAAACATACTTCATGAACCATGGCTCTCTCACCACTCAGTTCCTCAACCTCAATTGGCCAGGAGTCTTCTCAGTCTCCTGTTGCTATGCCCTCTTTTCTTACTCCACTTGATTGGGAATGCCTTTGACCCTCTGGCTTCCTTGACTTTTATCTTCAAGATGCTGCAGACCGGAATCACTCTGCCCTTGCAGAGGAAGACAGCATCATCCCGCTTCAGCATGTCTGTCTCTGTTGCACACTGAGAGGCTAGGAACCACCACAGCCATGGTTCACTATGATGCCTGCTCGTCCTGGGTGCCAGGCGAGCTGTGCCTCTCATCCCACAGAACACCCCCAGATGCCATGGGACAGGCAAGTGTGACACTGAAATGACTCATTCTTGGCAGGGTCTGGGCAATAACTGACCAAAAGTGGATGGATGAAGGTGATGCCGTAGGGCCTGGGGCTGCCTGAGAACCCAGCACAAACCTTCTGCACAAACACTGTGCAGAAGGCAGGAGACTCTGGGGCAGGGGCTGGGGCAGGGGACAGCGATCACTCTCCACCGGGCACAGAAACATTGGAACATCTCACGGCCCTCCCAGGGCCAAAAGCCAAAGAGCAGCCTGGAGACAGGGCCAGTGTTTTTTGTTCTACAGAGTAGAGAGGCCGATTACAATCAAGCAATTTGCTCAAGCTTTGCCTAGTAGTTGGTGGTGGAGGTGGAAGTTGGTGCCAACTTTCCCTGCCATTGGTCTTGGAATCTGTAAATGAAGGCATGGTCCTACTTCTCCTGCCTCTCTCTTTTCTTCTCTCCCTTCACACTGCTGCCCAGGGGGCCATCTGGGTCCAGAGGTGGACTCACAATAGTTGAGAGAGGCCCTACCCATGATCCACCATGGAAGACCAAACCAGACCTTATGATTGCTTTTAAAAACACAATGAATTGGGCTGGGGATTTAGCTCAGCGGTTCGGTGGCCTGCCTTGCAAGCGCAAGGACCCAAGTTCAATCTCTGGTACAAAAACAAAACAAAACAAAACAAAAAACCCACAATGCATTGGTATGTTAAGAACAGTCTGCCCAAAATACAAGGGAGCTTTTTAAATATGGTGCTACTTAGCTGGAGAATGTCTTCCAGCTAATCCACGTCAACACCAGTTACCTCCCAACTGTGTACTATTTGGGAACTAGGGAGGTGCCAGTGGCACTATTTTGTTGTTTGTGTTGCATATAGAAAAATCCTTGTTGAGAGTGCATTGTTGTTTTGATTTGCATTTCTGCAGGAGTGAGATTGAATGTTTTCAGAGTAAATGTTTAAGGAGGAAACATAACTTTGTTAATCAAAACTCTACATGTCTTTATTGCTTTCCACATGAATTTTACTTCTTGCAAAAGAATATAGGGGCCTATAATAATAATAACATTGGACAATTACTGAGTACTCCTTTTAGGTGCTTTGCATTATTATTTCATCTCCTTCTCACAGCAGCCCAGTAGGGAGGCTTCCTGCACAATCCCATCACAGATGAGGATGCTGGGATACGGAGGGACTGCACCCATAAATCACAAAACTAATTTATTACAGTGTTTTAGTTACTGCACCTTCAGGTAATGAGTCCTCTGTGGCATGTTTTAATAGGGAACTGGCTTACTGAGTTTTAGAATAGCCTTTCAGTTGACAGCTATAAGGACAAGCATGGCACAGAGAAGAGAACCATAGGAGTTAGCTTCACAGAGCTGGGTTAATGTCTCAGCTCTGCCAATCACATGCTGTGAGTGTGGAGAAGAACATGTGAGTCTCAGCACGCTGTGAAAATCAATTAGGTAACATATTCAAGGGGAGGCCTCTTGTAAACTGTAAAATACTACATGTAGTTTTGGAATTAATGTTCGAATATGTAAAGGCATCATATAAAGCAAACCATGCAACCCCTGATGCTGTCACATTGATCCAAAAACAAAAGCAAAAGCAGGGGCTGGGGATTTAGCTCAGTGATTCTGCCGCTTGCCTCACAAGGGCAAGGTCCTGAGTTCGATCCCCAGTACCAAAAAACAAAAGCAAAAGCAAATAGCATTAGTGAATGCACCAAGAAATGTGTTACATAGAATACACTTAAATGTGAAAAAAACTTTTTGAATTCTAACAAACTTCCTAATCTTTTCAAAAGAAAAGTGATGGACTTAGGTTCTGTTTGGGTTGTAGAAAAGTGGAAAGATAATAAGATAATCCTTGTAACAAAAAGATGAGCTATAAAACTATAGCTTTTCTGAAACCCAACAGACTGCCTCCATCCAAAGGCAAGTGAGAAGCCTGAACTCTAAGGAATCACAGGGCAGTAAGAGAGGACATGAGCACCTGCTTGTCCACCTCAGAGTTTGGGAGGGGATGGGGCCAACTTACAAACAGGTATAGATGATGACCAGCTTTCAACCCAAAATCACAATACACACACAAAAAAGAAAAAAATGACCTTATTGTCAAGAGATGAACCATCAGCGGAGTCAGACTTAGATGATCCCAGAAGTTGGAACTAGCAGGGAATTTAATAGAACTACACATTATGGATTGTGCTCAGGAGCCTCCCCAAAGCCTTGTGTGTATGAGGTGGGGCTTTCTTTTTCAGAGATGGCTGAATCTAGAGTGTGTGATACTGGGATTCAGGGCGTGTGATCACTAAACCACTACATGTGAGTGATTGGTTTGGCATCTTCCTGATCCCAGTAGTCTGGAGGAGATAAAAGGGGCAGAAAGATGCTGTAAGGTCTCTTGCTGCTTTTGCTGCTTTGTGTGCACTGTGTTGCTTCTCCTCTTTGATTCCTGCTTGCCATCCCTGCCTTGGAGCCAGCTAGTTATGGGCTGGAACCTCTATAAACTGTGAGCTAAATAAACTTTTCCCCCTTTAACTTTGGGTGTTGGATATTTTATCTCAGCAATGAGAGAAAAGTAATGAAGACACTGAATAAACGTAATTAGCATATAAAATCACACAATGTATGCAAGCAGGACTGAAGATGATCAAAATATGTTTTATACATTTACCAATTCCCCAAAATGAATACAACTTTTACGTTTTGCAAACATATGCTAACACCCGCCCAGTATTTTGACTGAAAGAAAACTAAAAGTAGGGTTATTACTGTTGCATCCTCTGAATTGGTTGAACATGCTTTACAAATAGTTAATGCATGCCGTATCAAAAAACTTTCTTTCAACATTCATTTAAAACCAATCCAGATTCCACAAAAAACTATGTTTGTCTAAACACAGCCTTGTATTTTGATGTGGTTTTTTTTATGTGAATACATTTTAAACATTTAAATTCAAAAGTATTTTATTAAAAGAATACATTAAAAGTAAAAAAAGGAAGAGTCTAACCCAGAAATGGAAATGTAAGAAAAAATCAAGTGGAAATACTAAGAAAAAAAAAAACCAAAAACCCATGGTAACAGAGATGAAGAAAGCCTTTGTCAGGTTCATCAGACATAGCTGATATGGCTAAGAAAAAATGCAGTGAATGTGGAAATGGGTTACTAAAAACTAACTGAAACTGAAACCGAAACTGAAAGAAAAAAATCTAACCAAAGAGAACATTCAGAGACTATAGGACAATATCACGTAGTCCAATATATGTGTAATTGGAAGCCCAGAAAACAAACAGGAGAAAACAGGCAGAAAATATTTAGATAGGCAAGAGAACTCTCCAAAATGAACTACAGACCTCACTTAGTCTACACAGCTAAGAAGCCCAGAGCATGAACTGGCATGAATGATGAAACAAAACCCCACTGTGCCTAGTGCACACATCATAGTCATACTGCTGAGGACCACAGAGTGAGGAGAGAATCAGGAGCATCCCTGCGGGCCAGTGAAGCCTGAGCTAAACCCAATTTCTGCCCTGACCTCGGCAGCCTCCTCTACCAGGCCTTTTGTGTGTACTGCTGAGTCTGTCAGGTCAAGAGTGAGGGGTCTGGTTTCCTTCTTGCCATGGTTACCTTCCATGTACCATCAGCTCTGGAATTACCTGATGTTGGGGCTGGGTTGCCAAGTTGTCTCAGTGTTCCTCGTCTGTGCTGGGTGTTATGTGTTTCCAGTGAGTGACCCCCATCCAGGCTTGCTCCACTGGGGAGCTTGTGTCTTCTACCTGCCCAACTTCATCTTTCATGTGAGTAACTGGTGGGCCTGCAGGGAAGAGCCTTGAGTGGGGTAAATTCATAGGGGTCCCCGTGCTCAGACTATTCCACCACCTCCTTGGACAATCAGTTCAAAGTTATGGCTGAAATCCTCTTGCCTGATTGTTGGCCCCATGTGTGAAGAAGACAGAAAAGAAAAACAAAATAAAAAACCTGGAGAATTAATTCCAAGAGAACTTGTACCAAAAGACATGCTAGAGGAAAAATTTCAGACCAGATTATGACAACAGAAAGAAACTTGAGTCTACACAAGAAATGAAAAGTGCTGAAGTGGTAAATGTGAAAGTAAAGATAGCACTCTTAGTTTTTATTATCTTAAATCATGCTGAAAGATAATCAAGTCTAGAGTGCTGGTGGCAAATCTATGGTACGTGTGCTACACAGGCATGTAGAGCCTTCTCTGTTGGCATGTGAGCCAAGTCACCCCAACATCACCAGCTTTGTGACAAATAAATAGGTTCTGGGTTGCAGTCTGAGTACTTGGTCTCTACAAGGTTCACCATCACTAGTGTAGACCAAACATGGTAGCAATGCCATTATCTTTATAGCACACGAAAAAGCAAAATAAATGTCAACAATAGCACAAGGGCTCAGAGAGGGGACTTAGGAGCTTCCTGCCATGAAGTTCTTACTTGTACAATATGATTTGATGACAAATTGTGGTTTGGCATTTAGTTGCTTTGTTCCTTCTCACCCTCCAGAAACCTCTTAGGAAGATCCTGTGTGGTTCAGTCTTTCAGACATGACAGAGTGCAGTGCGGTTTAACACTTCCATCTCAATCTAGCTTCTCTCTCCCCTTTGCACAACCTAGCTTTGTTCTGGGGACCAGAACCAGGAAGGCCACTCCCAGATCCTTCTGCTCTCCCTGATTTCCCTGTTCCTTTCATGTTTTGGTGTCTGGGAGGAGGGTTGGAGGAAGGGGCCAGGTCTCTGCTCACCTAGTGCTGTGTGGTTCATCCTGAGCCAGTCACTGGGTGGACATGGATGCCCCGTGTGTCCAAGTGAGGGTACTTCTTGGACGGAACACATGGAAAATCTGGGGGCTGTTTGGCTGCTGGCCTCTCTTGGAGCTGCTCTGGGGGCTCCTGTGTTACCCTTGTCCATCTCAGATTCTCCCCAGGTCCAGTCTTTCAGACTTCTGTTTCTCAGGGAAAATACCCTCCCTCTCCTCTTCCTCCTCCTTCTCCTTCTTGCGGTACTTGGAATTGAACCCAAGGTCTTCATGCTGAGCTACATCCCACCCTTTAAAGTTTTAAAAATTCATTAAGTAGCTAAGTTGACCAGGCTGGGTTCAAACTTGTGATCCTTCTGCCTCAGCCTCCCAGAGTGCTGGGATTACAGGTGCATGCCTCCACCATGCCTGACTGAAAGTTCCATTCTTCCATGTGGCTGTGCTCACACTTCACATCTTCTCTGTGCCACTGCAAATGCCACTGATGTGACTGCTGATTTCACTGATTATGTGTATGTGAGGCCAGAGGCTGCAGCCGTGCTTGCATATGAGCCATCTAGGAAATACCAGTAACAGTTGCATTTCTTCTGACTTCTGTAGCTAGGCCAGCTTTCCATAGCTTGCTGCACCGCTGATGAATGTTAATAATTCTTAGCATGCATATTGTTTTAAAAACTTATTTCACTGTTCAGAAAAAGAAGTGTTTGTATTTCCTGACTTGTTAAGAAAATTATTTCCTTTCCTTCTTAGACACAAAAAAGTAATCTATGCACGTTGTCAAAAGCGTGGACGGAGTGCGGAGGAGAAAGTAGGAAGATTTTCAGAGCCAGCTGCTCAGCCTAACAGTGAGTGCCCATGATTTCCCAGTTCCTAATGGCCACCTCTGCCACCACCCTAGGGGACCATGACCCGGGGGACTCTCACCCTGGCCTTTGCCAACTCTGAGGTTTCTTGCGAAGAACATGCGGTTGGGTTTGCTTTTATGCTCTCTGCAGACACATGCTTATGTAACCTGGATGTGCTATTTTGACTAAAGCTTCTGATTGAGAACTGTAGCCAAGCCTCCTTTCCCAGCAGGAATAGAGGTGGCAGACATGGGTGTTTCAGACCCCCTGGGAAGACGCAGAGCGGAAGAGGCAGCACCCAGCCTGTACCAGGAGACAGTGCTGCAAACAAGAGATGCTTCTCAGAAGCCAGAAAAGATGTCCAGGGATATTTCAGCTGCTGCTTTTGTTTAAGCCCTGGAGATTGAACTTGGGGAATTCCACACTGGGATACAGCCCCAGCTACTTTCTATTTTGAGACAGTCTTGCTAAGCACTAAGTTGCCAGGCTGGGCTTCAGTGACAATCATAATCCCCCGTCTCAGCCTCCCAGAGTGCTGGGACTACAGGTGTGTCCTGCCTTACCTGGCACTCCTGGTCTCTTTCAACATGTCCTTTCAAACTTGTTCCATAGAGGAGGTCCAGTGGAAAGGCTATGATCTGATTCTGCCAATCACGGGCCTGGAAATGAATGTTGCACTCCCATTACTGTAGCCTAGGGCTGTACTGGGCTATATGGCAGCCCTGTCCTTGAACTCATATTTAACTCCAGCAGGAGTGGCTGCCAAGATGTGTTCATCTTCCTTGTGTTTGTGGAGAAGATCTGAGAACTTATGGCTGGACCCTGCCCATCTGAAGAGGATGAGTTGGTAGAGTGGCATAAATGCAAAATAATTCCCATCGACGAGAATAATGAGTGAAACTGAAACCATCTCAGACAGGTAAGTGTAAAACTCCAAGTAAAACTCTAGGAACTCTGGTTCCTGGTTAAAATACTGTGCTTTCAGGGGTCGATTTGTTCTACTTGGGCTTCCTGAATTTCTTTTCACAACTGACTGAGCAAACTGGAGATAACGCCATAGGGCTAACATGGAACTGTCCTCCTCCCCACCATGAAAAGTAGAATGAGTTACAGTGCTGTGTGTGTGTGGCCTTTTCAGAGTTCTTCTTTCCCTGATTTCCTGGCAGAGGGACTAAACAGGACAGGAATGTCCTCAGGCTTTAGCTGTCACCTCCCCTGTTGCTAAGAGCACAACTTAACTCTGCCTCTGACCTATGAGGTTTTGGAGGGACATCTACATATGAACCTGAACACTGGCCAACATATCAACTCGATTCTCATGTAAATGGTGACCAGACACTTGGGGCTGAGTTATACTACTGAACTTTACCTTTTTTTGGCAATCACAAAATTATTTCCCCTGTAGACATTTAACCCCGCATAAAGGGCACGGGCACTTGAGGAAGCAGCCAGGGTCACTTGGAGCTGACCTCCTGGGCTGGGGTTGGATTTTCAGTTGGGAGTTTGCCACCCATTTCAATGCACTTTTGGGAGTTATTTTTGTGAGTCCCAGGAAAGGTCCAAAGTCCTGGGCAGAAAGCGCTTTCCTGTGTTGTGCCCTGAGAAGTGAAAACCTGCATCCTTCAGTGGAGTCCCGCCCTGTGAAGTAGTGAATGTAGCTCTTGGTGCTGTCTTCCTCCTGTGTCCTTGCCCTCTGTAGTCTTTCCCTTGGGCCCCTTCCAACAGGACGGTGTGGACATGCAGGTGCCAAGGGACCCAGAAACTGAGGTGGTGAGCTGAGAGGGTTTAAAACTGCCTTGTTTTCTGCACAGCCACCTGGAAGTGGACTTGTATATGGTACAGGAAGAAAACCTGCAGTGGCATCACTCTCACCAGTGACTTCTGCCTTTAGGCTATTTTGTCATCCGGGGAGAGAGACACTGGCAGGTCACTAAGCCCTCACAGGGCTGAGCTTCTCTTTCTTCCAGAAATCACCACCCGCAGGAATTGATATACTACAATAACAAAACTAGTTTGATCTTGGCAACCACTCACAGATGTTACAGGAAAATAGCGCAGCTGGCCCGGGAACTTGAGTGTCTTACTGTTATGCTATCGAGGGCCCCAGGGGACTCAGGCAGCACACTCAGGAGGAGGAACAAGAGGAAAGGAGCAATGAGAGCAAGGAAGAAGCACAGGTACACTCCTCAGTGCTGGCACAGATAGGGTTCTGGGGGATGAGGAAGCCACTCCCTCCTTACAGAGGCGCTTGCAAGGGCCACCCTAAGGCTACCACTCCCTAATCAGTCCCCCACCCACTGGAGTTTGGGTGCCACCCTCGCAGCATTCCACAGAGCTCCAGACCAAAGCACACGTGGTCTCTCTCTCTGTTCTTTTCCTCTCTCCCTCTTGAGCCCAAGAGCCCGATTTATGTGCACAGAATGCAGTATGCCTTTTTGTCATTCAGGCACAATTTCTCTGCTTGTGGTCTTCAGTAATTGTGGCTGTTTTCCCCCGCTATCGTGTGTACGCTTTGCAGTTCTTTGCTTGCTGTACACAAGAACATGGAATCTGTCAGATCCACCACATGGTAACATGATAACTCTTAAGGTTCTGGGATTTCAGGAGGATCTGCAGCTGGGGATTCAGGGATCATGGCCTAGTGGGTGCCAGGTTCTGCCCATTCACTTGGAGGGGGAATTTTTGACCATAGAAGGTTTTTACAGGAGGTGTCATGGCACCCAAAGCCCACGGTGTGGGAAGTGGAGGTGTGATCAAAACCATGAAGCAAAGAGATGCGTACTTCTGGTTTTGCGCATGTGTAAGGATCTTGAGGGAGATTGGGTGACCTTTGTTTCTTATGTTTTTTATGTTTCTTATAGTTTCTTATGTCTTGACAAAGTTGCTCTTGCTCTGTCTGGTTTCTCAATTCTTGCCCCATGGCTTTCTGTTCTTTATTTGTCTTTGCTCTGCCTTGTACCTCATTGCCAAATAAATGAGCCTTTGGGAAATTTCTTAATTTTTTACTGTACAACTGATCTATGTCCACCGTTACATATTAAAAGATATGGATAAAACAGGAGAAAATGCAGAAAAAATGATTCCAGATTAAAGCTTCAATATAACTCTCTCCAGAATGTTCTCTGTGTTCTGAATAAAGCAACCAGACCTGCTATTTATAACTGGCTTTTTAACTTAATACATTATGAATTACCTTCCATATCGATTAATGTATTTCTGTGGAATCATTTTAATGGCTATATATTATTTCATCAACTAGATGTGCCGTAATTTATTTGATTGATTCCTTCCTTCTTGGATAATTTAAGTAGTTTCTGATCTTTCACAACCATTGCTGTAACAATAGTCATGTATGTTCATAATTTTTGTTCGTTTTGTATCACAGGTTCACAGAATTGCTCTGGGCAGTATCACCAGCTCAGGGAACCCTGTCTTCATTTACAAAAATGTTGCGTTACTGTTTTTTCCTTCTTTACCCTCATCCCAAGTCTTGTTCTATTTCTCCCCATGGGCTGTGCTTTTTGAGTAGTTCATGTGTCTTTCTGATCTAGTTTTTAGACCATTATTTATACATACATACATATACATATATATGTGTAATTTGGTGACCTCTATTACTTTTTGTGTCTCTAAATCTGCCTTTCTTGATTTGTATTCAGCATTATTACTGAGCATTTTGTGAGTTGATCTACTTAGCCTCTTTCCTCTCCTTTTGTTTCCTGCACTGTGTTCCATCATTCAGGTACTAAGTCATATATTTATTCCTCCAGCTGCTGGGTGCTTTGCTTATTATTCCCAGCCTGATGCGAGTACCATCGCTGCTGCAGGGAACATTCTCAGTCATGCATGTGAGTGACCCAGGGAGAAAGTTTCTCTACTCCAGCATGGAATTTCTGGGGTAATAGATGTGCAGATTAATTTTCACTAATTATTTCCAACTTACTTTCTAATAGAGCTTTGCCAGTTTATGCTCCTCCTAACGATGCTTGTGGACTCTTGCTGCGAGTGCCTCCTCCCCCTCAATATTGTCTCAATGTAAATTTGGACCAATCTGATAGGTGCAAAGTGACTATTTTGTTCATTTAGTTATTGATTCATAATGAGGACATTTCATTACACATATAAGCTATTTGGCGAATAAACATCATAGTCTTTTACCATCCTCTATTTCTTCCCTCTATAGTCTACATTTAATTTTTAAAATACATGCCAAAATATCATCTCCCAGTTATCTGCCTGTTAACTTTATCTGTGAATTGAAATTTTTATCTCTCAGCTCTTTGGAAAGCATATATTTTGCTGTCATGGTTTGATCATTTAGAATCTTGAGCGATAAATAATTTCTAACCCCCTGTTATGGCTTGTGCCCAGATCTCCCCTCAAAGCCTCATGTGGTCATAGGTGGGGCTTTTCAGAGGTGGCTGGATCTAGAATGTGTGGTGCTGGGGTTAAGCATATGTGATTACTAAATCAGTCCATTGGTTTGGCTTGGTTCTAGGTAGGATTAATGGTGCTCCAGCCTAGGTATGAGTGCTACCTGCACAATCTGGATACAATAGAAAGGGACAGAAAGAATCTGTCACTTGTCACTTGCTGCTTGCTGCCTTCTGCCTGCCATGAACTGTTTCTCCTTTGTGATGTCCCTCTGCCATGACACCTATGACACCCTGCCTTGGAGCCAGCCATCTATGAACTGAAACCTCTACAAACTGTGAGCCAAATAAGCCTTGATTTATTTAACTTTGAGAGCCCTGTATTTTGTCTCAGCAATGAGAAAGTAACTAAGACACCCCCATACAACAGAGTCTCCTTTTAATTCATGATTTCTGTAAGGCACATTATTTAGAAGTGGTCTTGCTGGGAGAGTGGATATGGATCAGAATCTTTTGGTTACAACAGAAATGAGTTCATCTCAACGCAGCACAATGCAGAAACTAAAGGGTATTGACTTAGTTGACTGGGAGATCAAAGATGTGGGTTTAGCTTCAGGAAGAGCTGGACCCAGGAGTTCAGATATTGTAAAATTATGGCCTTGGGTCTGTGTCTCCCTATCTTTTCTCTGTTTTTCTTTGTGTGGGCTTCATTTTATAGCAGGAATTCTCTATGTGATGTCAAAGGGAACATTCTTGGCTTAGATGGGCCACAAAGGATCTGAGCATGTTTTTCCCTGTAGTTCTGGAAAGGTCTTCAGGGACTCTTCAAGGATTGGCTTCAAACTCACATTCACCCTTGGGAGTAGAGTTTTGATGTGAAACACCCCAGAAATCTTCCAGAAAGGACCATGGCTTTGAAGAAGAGTAGGTGCTGGACACGTGAAGCATCTGTCCATGTTTTTTATTTTTATTTTTTGATGCATTTGGCTCTAGAATGAACCAGTTTGCATCTCAGAAGTAGCCATGAGTGCCTTTTTTTGCATTAGGTATTATCATTTTAAGGACTTTTCACGTTTAATAGCAAAACATGATCTGATGCTTCATTTAACTGAGTCTCTATGATGCCTAGGGGTTCTAGCATATTTTCATATATTTACCTGTAATTTGTTCTGGGAGGTTGTGGCACAGTGGGAGATTTTCTTTTCCCTCTCCGGTCAAAGCACCATGGGGCAAAGAGGAGGTGGCTGGTTCTCGAGCTGGGACACCTACCTGTGAACCTGGGGCCAGAAATGAGGCTTTTATGAACCAAAGCTGGGTCTGACATCAGTCAAACCCTGGGGATACCTTCCCTAAACTATTTTCCTTTGCCTGGTAATTAATTGCAATCCCTTCCCCCATCCTGTCCATAGCTTATACATGGTATGATAAAAAATACAGTGGCTATTTAAATTTTTTAAAAAATGATTAGAGGAAAAGACACATTGTCATGAATCCCCTTTGAAATACTTCAAGATTTGAATACATGTATTGCATTATTCTTGCCACTTTCTGAAGCAGTTCTGGAGTTCTATGTTGTGAGTACCTTTATTAGATATGATCAGAAATACAGTCAATGCTGCTGCCAACTTGCCATCCAACAGAAAGACAGGCTCATAAAAATGTTATAATGTATCCTCATCCACCTTATTGGCCGGATCTGGCACCTTGTGACTTCTGGCTCTTCCCCAAAGTAAAAATGACCATGGAAGGTAAACATTTTGAATGGATCCGGGACATTGAGGCAGCCAGGGGAGCACAAGTAAAGACACTCACAGATGGTATCGTTTTAAACTATTCCCTTTGGATTTGATCACACCTCTGTATGGTCATAAAAATAAAGAGTCATTCTGAATGCTCCTTGTATAAGTACCATGCTAACCGATTTTGCTACTGGAGGGCCAAATCTTCTTTTGATGTCCTCCTGGAGACTGGGCTGTTGTTCAGGCCCCATTTTGAACTAGACGGAAAATGCGCGTAGGTTCTAGAGTCATGTGAACTTGTCCTTCGATACCCTTGGGCCCCAGGAGCATGGTGGGCACCGGTGCCTCCCCGATTCTCAGCTGGGGCCAGGTGGTGTCTGTTCTCTTGATGCCCTTTCATGCCCTGGGCTGTGAGCCTGCCTGTTCTGAAGGCCTCTTACTGCATTTCCTCCAGGCAAATCCTCCGAGTGACAAGTTTCCTGCACTCTAATCACCTCCACTGTCCATTGCCAGCCACCCGGTGGCTCGCTTCCTCTTTGGCCATGAGGCAGCTGGACACAGACCAGGTCTGGCTCCCTCTTTCTGTGCAGGATCTACTTCCTCACCAGGGACAGATGGGTCCCTGCGTCAGAGAGCAAGGCATGAACGGCCAGGCCCCTCTGTGTTCACCGAGGGCCTTTGTCATGTGAGGGTACACTGGCTCAAGCACACCAAAATCCTAATTTCCACTGAAGTCTTTCAGAGCTAAGCTTTTTTTTCTCTTTTTAAGACAGCTATCCTACACTGATATTTAATAAAGTTTTTTTTTTCCCATTCTCACACTGAGAATTTTTCTTGACTCTTTTTCTGACCCTACGAAAATCGAATGCAGCAACAGAACCCATGTATCCAAGCCAACCCAGGAAGCCTTGGGTGTCCTGATTATGCTGACGTGAAGTTGACTCTGGGATTGTGAAACAGAGTAGGAGTGGTCTCTCCTCACACAGCAGGGGACATTGATGGCAAGGGGGGCAGCACACAGGCGGGGACGCACTTGGGTATTGGGGGACAGCACTGGCAGCCATCCTGGAGGCCAAGGCCACCCCTGACGACAGGAATTGGAACTCCACACCCATCTTCCCCAGGGAAAGGAGCTCCCGGCATTCTCGTGGCCCTCCCTCTGTTCCTCCAGCGCTGGGATGGGTGCTTTGCTTCCTTTTTTCTTATCAGTACTTTGTCCGAGCTGTTTTCACGTGAGCATGACTTACAGTTGACTTTATTAAGGGCTGATCCACATACAACGCAATGCAGCAATTTCAAACGTATAATCCGATGAATTTGGATTATATATGATCTCTTGTATGATTCTCATATTAAGCAGGGTATCTTCATCCCTCCAGAAAGTGCTACTGAGCCTCTGCAGATCCTCCCTCCAAACTCCCCTCCTCAGGTAAGCACGGATCTGGCGCCTGGTGCCCTTGGGCAGCTTTGGCTCCTTGGGACCTCACACCGGCAGAGCCACCTCACACGTGCGCTGGTGTATCGCACTTGTCTTGTCTAGCAGAGCACCTGTGCTATGCCTTTGGGTTGTGGGACTTAGCAGTTTATTCTTTGCAATCACAATCATCCTTGCGTGTAAATCACACACTACCGTTGGACAAGCACATCTTTCCAAGTGAGGAAGCTGTGGACTTTTAAGTGTGCCCTCAGCCAGTCTTTTTAGCTTGTAACCTTTCCAGTCATCTTTTCACGTGTTAGTCCATGTCTGTAGCGCATAGTGTGCTTACATTCCTTATGGGGAGATGGTGCACGTACACAGCACATAATACTTCCTGCTTTCATCTCCTTTCTCTTCCCTCGCTTCCCTTCCCTCCATCTCTTGATTCTCTTCCCCTTTGAGAAAGGTCTATCCCCCTACTTCCTATTATCTATCTTTTATTTTGCTCTTTATTTATACTTCAGGTTTCTAATAGAACAGAAACCATGTGATGGTTAAGCCTGTGTGTCTGATGTATTTCATTTAACATTATGGCATCCAGGTGAGTCCATTTTCCCACAAATGACTCAAGTTTATCCTTCTTTATGGCACAGTCATACTTCATGGTGTGTAATAGCATATCTTTTAAAAATCTGTTCATCTGTTGATGGACACACAGGCTGCTTCCAAGACTTAGGTATTATGAGCCATGCTGCTATAAACAGGGATATGCACAGATCACTGTGACATGATGTCTTAACTCTTTTTTTTGGTACTGGGGATTGAACACTGGTCCTTGCACCTGCAAGGCAGGCCACTGAACCGCTGAGCTAAATCCCCAGCCCTCTTAACTCTTCTGAAAAGATATCTAGAAGGGGAACAGGTGAGTCAAGTGGGAGTTGTACTTTTAGTTTCCTGAGAATCTCTGCACGGATTTCTACCATGGTTGTACTAGTTTACACTTGCACATGCACGCCTTAGAGCGAACATGAATTGTCCCTACCCCATTGTTAAGCCGGGTGTGTTAGTATTCTGTGAGCACTCATGAATTTTATATCTCAGTCATTGGAAGTACCATGGTGAATGTATGAACATTCTGTTACTTTCAGTTTAAAGGCTGTTTTACAATGGGAAGTCATGTGGAAGAACTGTATTCTTCTCTTGTGGGTGAAGACAGTAACTCACTCTTGTCTGTCCCTTATCCTACAGTGGAGAGCTTAGTGGAGTGGCTGTCACCCTCACTTTTGGAGTAGTGTGCTTTCTGAGCCAGCAGGACCCTGCACAGACTGCGTGTGGTGGTGCATACCTGCAATCCCAGCACTCAGGAGGCTGAAGCTGAAGGAGCTTGAGTTTGAGGCCTGCAAAACCCTGTCTTAAAAATCAAAAGGAAATAAATAACAAAGGGCTAGAGATATGGTTCAGGGGTACAGTGCTTTCCAAGTATGCAGAGGCCCTGGGTTCAATCCAGAGAGAGAGAATAAGAGAGAGAGAGAGAGAGAGAGAGAGAGAGAGAGAG